TGTAAGCAAGTAAGCAAATGGCATCTCTTCCTGTTGTTTCCATTATATGTTGTATGGTTAGTAGTGAAGTTGGCCATTTGTGCCTCGCCTTCTATAAGTTAATCCATTCCAGCTCTTTATCTCTTTCCTTCTGAGTTATTGGACTTTTTATGTATAGAACCTCTTTATGGATTATAGATATTAATCCTCTGTGGACTGTATATGTTGAAATAGCATCTAATCTTTCAACTCTGTATATGATGGCAATTTTCTTTCAATTAGTTTAGGTTTAAAGAAGGCAGGTTGATTTTATGGGAAGCAAAGGTTCTATGTTTGAAAAGTCTTTAGGATAGAAGTCAGTTAAACACAGAGAAACTACAAACAACATGCAACAAAACAAGTAAGAATTTCCTTCATTGGATCGTGTAGGGATAGCAGCTAACGTTTTAAAAAATGGACCTTTTACTCTAATTCAATGGCCTGTCCAAGGTCACATTATGTCTTCTATCCTTCTTCATTTTCACTTCACTCCCAGGTTCCTCAGCCTAAACAGATGTAATTTTTTCTTACTCTAAGTCAAAATGGAAGCGGGGAGATGGAGGAAGCCCTGCAAATCATGCATTAGATTTGAGATTCCTTTGGCTCCTGCAAAATGGTGGCAGTCTTCGGGATGTGTCTTTTTTCCACCAATTTAAATGATGACAGATTGAATGCAATGCTGTTATAAATAGCTTAGGGGTGATTCCACTTTTGTGTAGCGAAAGTGGCCAAGCCTTAAGGCACATCATTCAGACCACTAAGATGGGGAATTGTAATCTACAGTGGTGACTGTTCCATAGTTCTTAGTTCGGGGAGGTGGAGTTGGGGGTGGGTGTCACAGATCCCTTTGAAAATCTGATGGAAAACTCCGTGTTTTTTTCCTCCAGAAAAATGAAATGAGCACACGCATCGAATGTTGCTGGTCCTGCATTCATATTTCAGTAAACTGGAGGCTGCTGGGAAAGGCTTGCTTGGTAAATTCAACCAGCTAGTGCTGGTCCCTAAGCAGATTTCTTTCTCTACCTCAGGCTTGCTTCACTCATTGTTAGGCTTGCTCAAGGCTTTAGGGACTCAGGATGATATCTAAGTCCCTTTCATGAGGGAGTTTCATCTATACCAGCCGGAGTGACCCCTCATAATTTTTGGAAAGGGTTAGGATTTCAAAGACATTCATGAGGCTCCAATCAATCACTGCCTCCCTCTGGCAATCCTCTGAGTTCTTCTCTCAAAATATTGTCAGATTTGTGAAGCAGCACCATGCTTTTGTGAAGCTGGGCTGCCTATTTTTATCCATCTCCCCTCTCACCCCATCTTCTGAAATGTGTTGCTGTGGCTTCCCTGATTAGTGTTGCAGGGATGCAGGAGAGACCCAGGGCTCATGGATCTTAAAGACCTTTGAAAGAGAAACTTCGCTCTTCCAAAAGTGGGCACGGTGACATGATGACCACCAACAGAATAAAATCTGTTTGGGGAAAGTTATGTGATAGTCAAAAGCCCAAAAAAAGATACAAAATTAAGACCCGGGCAAGACGAGATCACCATCCTCTACACTGTCCTTATCTAGACTCTGAGTTAAGCACCAGAGGTGGTGAATCTACTTGGGCTTAAGACACCCAAGGCTGTCACTGATAAGAATGTACTGTTCGCACCTGCTGCAAACACACAGCCCAGGAGGCAAATGGGGCTAAAATTCAGCACCAAGCCCAGAGGACCTGCTGATTCTTCCCCAAAGGGACACAATTTCTACCTCTCACAAGGCAACAGGGCTTAGCAGTTGGTCTTGAAGACATGTACTACTCCCTAATCTGTTTGAGTTCACGAAACTGTTTTTGTAATGTAATTGGGCTCACAGTCCATGCTGTGTTGGTCTGTCGTTCTCCAGGGTCAGTATCATCTGGAGGGCTTGTGAAGAACAGATTGGTGGACTACACCCTCCAGACTATCTCACCGGTGTGGGGTGGGGCCTAAGATTGTGAATTAATTTCTTTCTTTCTTTTTTTTTTTTTATCTTTTTTTTTTTTTATCTTTTTTTTTTTTTATAGAGGCATGTTTATTTGTTTATTTGTTTGTTTTGTTTATACATGCACTGGGTACAGTCAGAAGCACGGGAGGGTGAGAGAATTCACCAGAGCCAGAGCGGAGAACAGAGCAGGCAGAAGGACCGAAGTACACTGCTGAGGGGAGCAGCGGGCGGCAGGAGAGGTCTGCGCACCATGTGGGACCCTCCTCCGGTGGCCGGGGAGCAGCCGGGGATCGAACCGGTGCCACTGAGGCTGTGGGCAGCTTCGCAACCCAGCGCTCAACCGCTGCGCCACCGGGAAGGCCCTCTTTCTTTCTTTTTAAGATTGATTTATTTATGCATATAAGAGCTGGGATGTAGGCCAGAGGTGCGGGAGGGTGAGAGGATTCATCAGAGACAGAGTGGGGAACAGAACAGAAGTGACTGAAATACACTGCTGAGGGGAGCAGCGGGCGAGGCAGGAGGGGCCTGCTGCGCCATGTGGGTCAGCTCCCTGACCTGAGATTGAATTTGTGCTGCAGTGGCTGGGGATAGCTTCATAGTGCAGGGAGGCCTAAGATTGTGCATTTCTAACAAGTACCTGAGGATGTTGATTCTGCTGGTCCAGGGACCTCACTTTGATAACAAGTGTTACAAACTATAGGCAAGAGTTTTTTGTTTAATTTTTTTACTTTGGACTTTATCTATGTTGTATAATGAGGTCTCACTGAACCCGTAGAGACCAAAGAAAAATAAGCAACTTCAGATACCTATCCCTCCCTAGAGGGGCTATCCTGGCTCTTCACATACCCATTTACCTGAAAGGCCCAGGCAGCTTTACCTGGAGTAAGGAGCTGCCTCAGTGAGCAGGGCCACTTTCATTCATTTGACTGTCTGCGTCTGTACCATAAAGGAGCTACTGTTTTCCTCCCAAGCTGCTCAGCGGGTGGCAGTGATGTTGGCAGGAATTTACTCTAAATTGATGGGATGGTTCTCAGACCTCTTGGAGTGAAAAGGTTGCTTGTTTTGGTTGGGGTTAGGATTGTATATACAGGGGGTGTAGACCTTCTCTAGAGCACACGGTGCCCTGAAGATCTCCATCCACTAAACCATAGCCCGTTTTTCTGCCCTCACATACAGAAAGGGCTTTTTGTGAATACACAACTTGAGTCTCCACCTAACCCACCCTAAGTAAACAGGTAAGTGTTCTCAAATGTGTCCAGGAACGGAGACCTGCAGTTTCTTCTCATATATTATTTAGCTTTAGGCCCCTTTTAAAAGCCTGAGAACTCTTTTTTGACTAAGTCTTTAAGTTCTCAGTGGAGAGAGCACAGAGTTGGCCCTCATCCTCTGTACCCCATCTGTACGGTCACTCGACACCCAGCCACATTTTCCTCTGTTCCTACATCCCACCTCTCCTCAGACCCTCTTTTCTGATCACCGGCTTGGGGTGTTTTGTGCTCATACTCAGAACTGGGCTGCACCTTTTGATGTTGCCTTTTCTGAAAAGTCCTCTCTGGCACTAGAGAGGAATCTATTAAGGCGCCGTGTTTCTTGGCCTTCAAAGTGGTGGAGTTTTGGCCCTTGAGGTTCTGTTCATGTACCAACTCTTCTGCCAGTTTGAGCCTATTGTTCTCTGAATAATCTTTCACCGTCCCCTGAGGACAGCTTGAGCTGGGCGGAGTGCAAGTTGGGAGAGAGATGCAGTTCTTAACTTTTTCCTGGGAAAAACTCCCCAGAAAAAAAAAGGAACCAGCAAGACTGGTTGCATGAACAGGGGAAGTCATAACCCCAGGATATTCGCCTCACGGGAGAGGCCCACACATGGACTGAGAGTGACTCAGATGAGGAGATGGGCCGGCCCTCTTGCTGCCTTGAGCAACCTCCTGGGGGGCATGTGGTGAGAAAGAGCCAAGGATGATCTTTCAAAAGAACCTCTTCTGGAGAGCTAGTTTGGACGAAGATATATTTGCTCTTCAGAAAAGGCAAGAGGATCTGGGAAAACTGCAACAACAACAAAAGCCTGTGGCCTACAGAACCATGTCTTTTTAAATGTGGCTCAGAAGCAGCTAACGACATTTATAACAATCACTGTCTCTGCCCACTCAGTTCAATGTATCTTTTCACTTTCAATTTGATCCCTTCTGCTATCAGAGGGGGAATTGGTGGACCGAAGGCAGAAAAGGACCGAAATGCAATCTAGGTTATGCTCAGAATAAATGCAATGTGACTTAGGAAAAGGCCAAGGAGAAGGGCATTTCATTAGGCAATCAGAAGCAACCCAAGTCGCCAAGCCGGTGTGTTTGCTTCTATTTATAGCCAAGGACACTAGCCCCTGATGACTGATTCTGGGAATGCAGAGGGGTCACGTGGACGCAAAATGATAGCACTGAGGATCTGGGGAAGGTGGGCCATCCATCATGAGAGGAAGCCAACCTCGTTTTCATTTACTGGAAATGTGCAGAATTTGTTTGACTCATCCCAAATCATGGGGGTAGGGGTGGGGGGAGCCAAACAGAACTACAGTCTCAGGATTAAAGGGGTACCTATGTTTCTGCCCTACAATTCCTGCAGAATCCTTGTGATTTGGGGGAGGAAATATTTTGAAGAGTTCTCTGTATCAAGGGACTGCTTTTACTTGATAGGATGCTTCAGGCACCTTTGATCATGAATGAGTTTGGGATAAATTAGGATGGGTTTGAAACCCACCCAAAAGAGCATTCTAGAGCCCTGAGTTACCAAGTACTCAAGCATCAAACACACTCAGGCTCTCCTTAGCCAATAACTAAGTATTGTGGTTCTTTAGACCAAGGCTCTGTCATCCCATACCCCTTCATTACGCTCCACGGACAGTGCTAGTTCCGATACAGACAGCAGCACTCCTGCCCTTGTTGTCTTTCCAGGTAGCAGCTGAAGCCAAATGGAGCCCAAGTCAACGGATTATAAAGATACCCTCGGAGTTGTTTCGGGGAAGATGACTTACCATACCACTCATCAACCCACGCAAAAGCCTGTCTGTGTCCAATCAGCAGAATATCTCGGACCACCTGAAAAGGTAAAAGGAGGAGGCTGAAATGACACCGTATTTGGTGAGAACTAGCTGAGCACCAGATTGTTCTCAGTTTTAGGAACCCTGGCAATTGTGAACTTCTCAATGGGACTGTCCATGTTGACAAGAAGAGGCTGCCAGAAACTGACAGTGTGCGCTCACTCTCAGCCTCCTCCAGGCACCAACACACTTGCTGTGAATTCACCTCTTCATCTTGGTTGAAAGTCAGGCTGGGGGTGAGTACAGCCCAAGAGAGCTCCTTGGCAGACACGCAGGAGTGGTTTGAGTGAATCTCAAGGATAATCACCTCTGGATTTTTTCCTTCATTTATCTTTACCTAACTAACACAGGTTCTTCTTTTCATTTTTGGAGGGATGTGTCTCCCTGGGGCCAGGAGTCATAAATGTTGGAGAACAAGAACATTTTTTTGGACAGCAGATCACTTCCATGCAAAGAGCATTTAATACTCTTTCTGATAAGATATCTTAAATATTATTAATTTTTGGTAAATGTAAGTGTGGGATACAGGGCACGTAATTATCTTTTTAGGTTTAACTTTCATGCAGTGGAAGGGAAAAAACAGCAGTTAGTCAACTATTATTAAAAGTGATGAAATAAGAGACCTGAACTAGAATTGACCATACAGACACGATAAACCTAACCTAAGACAAAGGAAACGAAATTGTTTCTTAGGGTGACAGAGCACGGCCATAGAAACTAAGAAAAACAATATGTAGCTTGTGTGCTCTGATTTCATGGTGTTCTTTTTTGTCTGCTCTAAACGTGCTTTTTTCCACTTCTTGGTTACTTGGAGTCTCCCTGCAACATTCCTGTCTTCCTGCCAAACAAATCCAGCAATTGTCAAAAACCTCTCCTGGAAGGTTCAAGCGTGTTTCAATAAATGAAGGATTTTAATTTGGTGAATTTGCAGAAACAAGGGAGGCATTTATAATGAAGTGTTTGTTACTCCAGGCCTCTGGATATCTAGCGAGGCTTTCCTGACGTGGAAGGCGGAAACATGTAATGAAAATAACAAACAACACGAAGCCACACACACTGGAGTGCTGAGTATGTCAAATTCATGGAAATCAAAAGAACAGCATCGAGGCATCAGTAAATATACCCTATTACATTAAGCACAACACAGCTGTCTGCTGGAAACGAGAATTCAATAATGTGCTAATGGCTCACTTTCGAACATTTTTTTTCCCCTTAACTGTGAATGGATTCTTAAAAAACAAAGGTGTTTGGAGAAAGGCATCCCTGGCACTTTAAACCCATGCAAATGCCAGCCTCAGATACTCATTAGTGACTCATGTGCCAAAGCAGGTGTGTTTTTGGGGCGTTGATAACACTTCATTATATTTGGAGGGCAATGGGATGGGTATTCCTGGAGCATTCATTCTTATGGGTATTTTAAAGAAATAGATCCTCCAAACTAGCCAAAGGCATCCGTGAGCAAAGAAACACAATAAGCCTGGAGCAATCTAAATAAATATGCTTTGCGAGAGGAAATAATACAATGTACTAGTCATTCCAGTAGGAGATCACTTGGGTTAAAAACACCTAAGAAGGGGCTGTTGTAGGAGGTCATGGAGATAGAGCCCAAGATGGACGCAGAGATGAGTCTGGAAAATATTTATTTTAGGACCCCTGACTGCCTCATAAGGGGCCCAGCAGGAAAGCAGAAGGGCTTAGAGTTTCTTTCTCTCTGTCTCACTGGATTCCCACTTCTGGTTGGGTAGGCTGGGTTCTGGAGCGCAGCAGAAAATGGGGGTGTGTTTCTCTATTCAACACCAATCCTCCCAACTTGGTTTCAGAGTCTGCTTTCATCATGAGCCAAGTCCAATTCATTCCTTGGACTAAGATTCAAGATCTAGACATTTTATTGTCAACGGGCCCCCAACCTTGATAGACAAATCCATCTAAGTGACAAAAATCTTAGTGCATTAAGGTTAAATTCTACTGCCCCTAAAAGAATTTCAAAAAGCTATTCTTCATCAGCTTTTAAATGGAAAAATAAACGGAAACCCAGCCTATCTGGAATGTAGAGAAAACTTGGGCAGGGTTTATTTTTTATGAAAATGGGAGGAGCTACAAAGGACGATGCTCCGAATTACATTTCCCATGAGGAGAGTCTTGTTGGGGCCCCCCAACAAACTAAAATCCAAATGGGTGCCTGCTATGAAATCAACATGTTTGGCCAGAGGGGGTATTTAATCTTTTTTTTTTTTTTTAATGATTTATTTATCTATGCATACAAGAGCTGGGCACAGGCCAGAGATGCAGGGGGTGAGAGGATTCACCAGAGACAGAGTGGGGAACAGAACAGGCAGATTGACTGAAACACACTACTGAGGGGAGCAGTGGGTGAGACAGGAGAGGTCTTCTGCTCCATGTGGGTTGCTCCCTGGCAGGGCGAGGATCGAATTTGTGCTGCAGAGGCTTCGGACAGCTTCATAGTGTGGTGCTTAACCCCTTGTGCCACTAGGGAAGCCTGGGGGTATTCAATCTTGGTAACTCTGTGGTACCCCAATTACTAAAGTAGCAGAAATGCGAGGTGCATTGTCTAATGGGACTATTGGGATTTCTTGTTCTATCTCTTGGGGTGCCTTCAACCTTCACTATCTACATTTGCAGGATCTTTTCAGTGAGAATTATCCTTTGGGGCTGCACACAGATAAGTCCTGTGCCTCTGCCTGGAGCTAGATTAGTCTGGCGCCAAAGGGAGACATTTTTTTTTTTAGTTCAAATTTTCAATATATTTCAATATATTTTCAATAAATTTCAATATATTCACAATACATTTAGAGGTCAATAGACATAGAGGTCAAAAAATGAGAGATGAAGTATAAAACATCCATTCATGGAAGGAAATGTAACCTGTATATAAAGTACATTTTTATGAAAACAGCGCTTTTTAGATGCAGTCGCCTGGTGCTTGGTTGGCACGTGTGCCTCTGACGTGTGTCTGCACTCTACTTTACAAGAGATGGTTACTTTGTCCACAGCCTAGGAGCTGTTTGTTCACTTACCTTGTGTACAAACTGTTCCACTCTGGTCTGAAGGCCCCAGACTTCGAACTTCACGGTCACCAACTTGTAGGAGCACATGATGGGCTGATGATTATCTCTCCAGCCTTCCCTTAACTTTCCCCGTCCTGTCTTCTCTGACTTGAAGTGTTTAGGATCCTGGACAAAATATAGAAAAAAAATAGTAACTAAAAACTCAACCATCATGTATGTGAAGTGCTGAGGATGGGGGAATTCATGGGGACAGAAGCTGGCAGTGACTGCTAATGGGAATAGGGTTTCCTGTTGGGATGATGAAAATATTATGGGGGTAGATGGTGGGGGGAAAAAAAGAGAAAATGTTCTGGAACAGATAGTGGTTATGATTGTACAACTTTGTAATGGAATATGTTAAAACCTGCTGAATTACATGCTTAATTAAGAGGGTTGAATTTTATGGTCTCTCCATTAAAAGGGGTTACAATATAAATAGGTGGTGAAGAGGTAGCTCATAGATTGAAAGCTAGACATTGTTTTGCATCTTTTTCATAATCTTAGGGTTAATGTTATCTTTTAAAAAAAAAGTAATTCATCAAAGTGGTTTCAACAACTTTGAACAGCTATTCAGCAATATCTATGAATATCTACAAAGTATATGCCTACCTATGACCCAGTGGTTCCATTTCTGGATGACATTAAGTGCACATGGCCACCAAAGATTATCCTAGAATATTCACACCAGCTTTAAATATAGTTTGCACAAAATCTGAACATTTCAAATATTTACCAGCAGGCAAACAGATAAACAGTGGTATATCCACATGATAGAATAATACACAGCAATGAAAAAGAACAAACTGTTGATGCCTGCACAAAAATGATGACCCTCACAGGTATGACAATGAGCAAAAGTAGGCAGACCCAATGGTGTACACATTGTATGATTCCAACTGAAGCTCAAGAACAAGCAAAACTTATTCTTGATGTTAAACACTAAAATAGCAGCAATCACCACTTGGAAGAGGGGCTTAATTGTGACAGGACATGAGGGAAACTTCTGGGATGATTACATGTCATTTTGGATGTAATGTGTAAAAATTCATTGAGTTTCACACAAAAGAAAATGAAATAAGAGAGGCAAAGCTTTTTTTAAAGTCAACCATTTAGTATTTACTTAGCGATTGCCATGTGGAAATCAGCTACTGATGATTTCAGAAGATTATTTTTCAGAGACATGCAAAAGGAATGCATAAATACATAAAGTAGGAGAAATATACATATACACTTACAAATATATTTATTTTCTTTAGTTATAATCAGTACAATTGCCATACAACATTATGTAAATTTAAGGTATACAGCATGCACAATTTAAAAAATGTTCGAAAGGGTGCCCCATGGCCGCCGAGCAGGAGCCAGGCGAGCCCGGGAAGGGAAAGCCCTTTAAACTTCTAGGAATTTTAGGGCCTCCCCGGTGGCGCAGCGGTTGAGCGCTGGGTTGTGAAGCTGCCCGCAGCCTCTGCGGCGCCGGTTCGATCCCCGGCTGCTCCCCGGCCACCGGAGGAGGGTCCCACATGGCGCGCAGACCTCTCCTGCCGCCCGCTGCTCCCCTCAGCAGTGTGCTTCGGTCCTTCTGCCTGCTCTGCTCCCCGCTCTGGCTCTGGTGAATTCTCTCACCCTCCCGCGCTTCTGACTGTACCAGTGCATGTATAAACAAACAAATAAATAAATAAAATACGTGCCTCTTTATTAAAAAAAAAAAAAAAAAAAAAAAAAAAAAAAAAAACTTCTAGGAATTTTAGATGTTGAAAACATCCCCTGTGCCTGGGATTCGATATTATGCGGTTCATTAGGATCTATTGTGGCTGGCCTGGGACATTTTTTGTTAACTAGTAGAATTAGAAGATCATGTGATGTTGGAGTAGGAGGATTTTTCTTAGTGACTTTAGGATGCTGGTTCCATTGTAGGTATAACTATGCAAAACAAAGAATCCAGGAAAGCATTGCCAGAGAAGGAATTAAAAATAAGATTTTATATGAAAGTACCCACCTTGATCCTGAAAGAAAACAAACCAATGGCAACAGCAGCAGCTGAGCAATCTCGGGCATAGAACACCCAAATACAACGGAAGTCAGTGTGAAAAAAGCTGAGAGTAACTATAAAAAAACCTACCTTTTATGTACCATAAAGCCTTCAATTAAGTAAAAAAAAAAATGTTCAAAAGATGTTCTCATTATTATAAAGAAGACCTTGCTTTGGAGGTCCTTGTCTGGTCCTATGTCAGGGACCCTTCTACTGGAATTCCTGACTCCCTTCATGAGGATGTGGGGTCCTGAGGGGAAAGACCGTGTCACAAACACAAATGAGGGGCCTCCCTGGTGGTGCAAGGGGTTAAGATGCAACCTATGAAGCTGTCCGCAGCCTCTGCAGCACGAGTTTGATCCCCGGCCAAGGCGGTGACTCACATGGCGCAGCAGACCTCTCCTAACTCACCCACTGCTCCCCTCAGCAGTGTATTTCAGTCAATCTGCCTGTTTTATTCCCCACTCTGTCTCTGGTGAATCCTGTCTTCTGGTGAATCCCCCACCTCAGGCCTGTACCCCAGTTCTTGTATGCATAAATAAATAAATCTTAAAAAACACACACAGAGATGAGGAATGAAGGCTGCAGAAGGTGAATGAAGGTCTCCTCTCGTGGGAGGGAGCTGGGGGATGTGAGGAAAGGCAGGTATTCTGAGACCAGGAACCAGATTAGCCCGGTCTGCCCCAGCCCTCAGACCAGACTGTGTCTCAGGGGTGGGCCTGGCAGGTAAAAGCAGCCTGCTTAAGCTGCAGACAGGTTTGTTCACTGTGGTCAGGCTGAGGCTCTGGCAGGCCCATCTGGCACTGCCTCCTGGCAGGAGCTTGCAGGCTGCATCCCCTCACCTTTCCTTATGGACCTGCCTCCTGTGAGGACCTTTTGTTGGGTGGCTCCCACAGCTGACGCTCTGCCAGAAATATGCCACGCTCCGGGCCAGTGCCCATGTGAGGGCTATGCCAGGTCGGCAGCAACGTCCAGGTAGAGCCCTCAGCCTCGCGGCCCCTGTCCGCAGTCCCTCTCTGTCAGGGTGACCTCCCAGAAGAAGGCCCTTCCTCAAAAACCACCCATGACACATGACTTTAGGATAAAAATAAAATGTGCAGGCAGGAAATAAAGGCTTCTTATGTTCTTGCCTACCTTTCTGGCATCTTTTCTGCACCACTATCCCAAAGCCACACCTCCAGTCTTGTGAAGCTCCTGGCAGCCCCGTGCTCCCAAGCTTCTCTTCCTCAAGTTCCTTCTTCTGGTCAACTCACCCACATTGGCTGGCACTTCCTTTTTTTTTTTTTAAAGGAGGTGGGTGAGAGGATTCACCAGAAACAGAGTGGGGAGCAGAACAGGCAGATCTACTGAAATACACTGCTGAGGGGAGCAGTAGGCGAGACCCATATGGGTCAGTTCCCTAGTCGGGGTTCGAACTCAGGCTGCAGTGGCTGGCAATAGCTTGATAGTGCTGAGACTTTAACCCCTGTGCCACCAGTGAGGCCCGGCTCTTCTTTTTTTAAGACTTAACACGAGCATCCCCTCTTCCAAGGACCCTTTCCTGTGCAGTTCAGAATGAAGGCTCCTACTTTCTGCTTCCAAAGCCTCCTCTGCCATCTGCCATCTGTCATCACTGGTCTGCTCACCTATCTCCGTAAGACCAGGATCTGTGGGTGCTTCCCACCATGGTGCTGGCACATAATAGCTACTAAACAGACCCTTTCTGAATCAACACTTGAACCCTGTTTGGACCCATTATACACTCATGGCTGGGGCCTCAGAATCTCAACCCAAACTGGGCAAATCCTTTAATGAAAGAGTATGACTAGGCGAGACCAGTGATCTGGAGGATGGGTAGCATTTTTGGACCTTCAGTACCAGCGTTGGCAGGCTATATGTTTATCTCCTGAAGCATGCCAGGAGCTACCAGAAATTGTATGCCTAGACCTGAAGAGATTATAATTTAATAACATGATACACAAAAAAGACAAATGCTTAGGAACTGGCCCCCAAAAAGCACCTGATTGACATTAGCGTGTTGCACGTCCCAAGACAGTCAACGAAGCCTTTGAGTAATATGTCTAATCCCGCAGTCCAGGGCAGAGACAGCTATGCCTTCCCAAGCACCCTGGGACACAGCTAGAAGAATTGATGTTTACAGCCATGGAACTAATTCCTACCTGCCCCATGTTCCTATACCCTACACGGCCACTAAGAATGAGACCCCCAAAACATCAAATGATGATCCACACCAGGCCCACTAAGGCAGATAATCTCCAAAGATGATCACAAGCAGTCTGTCCCTCAAGGTGTCACAAGCTTTTCCCCTCCCCTTGAAACTAAACTGGTTTTTGACTTGCTTTGACTAATAGAATGTGGCCGAAGAGACACTGTGTCAGTTTAGGCCTTCCAGGAATCTGGAAGCTGAATACAACGTGTAACGTCCGTCTGACCATCCTGAGGCTGCCATGTTGTGAGTATAATCACTAGCACATGGATAACTATCTTTTATTTTTTAAATTTTTAAAGATTTATTTATTTATGCATACAAGAGCTGGGGTGCAGGCCAGATGTGCGGAGGGTGAGAGGATCCACCAGAGACAGAGTGGGGAGCAGAACAGGCAGACTGACTGAAATACACTGCTGAGAGGAGCAGTGGGTGAGACAGGAGAGATCAGCTCCCAGGCAGGCTGGGGATCACTTATTGCTGCAGTGGCTGGTGATGGCTTGATAGCACTGTCTTTAACCCCTGAGCCATGGGGGAGGGCCTGGATAACTATCTTGACAAAAGACATTACCTCTGTGCTCAGCCAACCCGGATACACAGAGTAAATCCTCGTAAACCCGAGTGGAGCTTGTCCTACTTGTGTTAGGAACTGGATAAACAAAGATTGTTATAGAGCCAGCAGGCAGAGGAAGGCAGGAGGCCGGAACTCCTGGCAACCGAGATGTGGAGACAAAGGATCTGGTAAAGAGCAAGGAGGGAAGGCCCCAGAGTGGAGCGAAAGAGAAGACACAAGTGTGTCCCGAGCTGCTTTGTTGCTTTGTTCCTCTCAGATTCTCTTCGGTGGGCCTGAAAGAGGCCTGAAGAGGGAGGCTCTGGGCCAGCCGCAACCCT